AGCTGGATCTTCCCCTTATCTCCAAACTGAGTATTGACACCAAAGAATGGCCGCCCATCTTTGGTGGAAGAGTCAACTTTCAGTGATATAAGTCGTCCTTTCAACTCAGTTTTGATGTGTGCTCGAAGTCGTTGTGCTTCTTCCTTGACCATCTGGCGGATGGTTTCATCATTAATGGTGAACCTGTAGGAAATAAATGCTGAATAAATTTGTGAACTAACTTATAAATGCAACAGTTAAGGGTAGGCTACATTGAAAATGATGTGATGGGTAGGTAGGTAATGTAGGGGGTATTAATTTTTTTTAAGAAAGACTTAAAAGTAAGAAAAAGTATTGTCTGAGGTCTATATCTTTAACCGTTCAAAAGTTATAAGCAAACAATTCTTTTTGCAAAGCTCTACCAAAAATGTTTTCAGCGCACCAATTTTGTTGCGACAAAGTTGCTTGTAAATAATTCTTTATCAGAAAGGAAAGAGCTGTAGTTCTGACAGAACACATTTTCAAATTTGTGTTTAATTGATTTTTTAAAAATGTAGACATTGGTTTACAATATTTTAAAACATTAAAAATGGCCCAAATTTAGTGATTATTTTAAAAATATTTTAAGGGAAAGAAATAACAAATTTCGTTCTGTCAGAACTGCTGCGGGGAACACAACGACTAAATTTATTATGTTGACTGGCACGTAACTCTTAACCCAATGCGCAGGAAGTTTTTAGAGCGTTTAATAAGAAGGTCTAAATAGAGTGTTGGTGTTGGGTTTGCAAGTATGAGTCAATTACTGTATTGAATGCCTTCAGGGTCATAATTATCCAAAATGACAAAATTACCACTGTAGTAGCCTCCCCTTAAGTCCAATTTTTGTGAAAATTAAATCCGTCTTACCTCTGTCTCGCAGGAAAAGCAGCAATGATGGGGTCAATAATATCATGGAAAGCCTCATCGGCCATCAATTTGAACGGCCTTCCATGCACTGCGACCAACCGGACGCATGCCAGCTTCAACTGCCTTGGAGTCATTTTCACCTTCAGAACGGCCTTCTTCTCTTTCTGCACTTTCTGCAGCTGTCTGCTTTTCTCAATCTCCTTATCCAGAAGGGCAACCCGGTCTTTATGGTTGCGCCTTATGTGCTTCTCCAGGTTTCCACTGTGCTTACCCTAAAAAAAGGAAAAAGAAGTATTTAAATTAAAGAAAAACAGGAGCATCGCCCGTTATTGCACTAAATCGACAACCAGCCGCACGTCGTGGTGGTACACACACACAAACCCACGCTTCGCGGCCCAATCGCACTCACATCGGCGAGGTGCTTGTCCTACACCAAGTCTCCACAACCGCAACCAGACCTGGCATCGCGATCCACCGCA